CTCTAATCCTCACTATGTTTGTGTTTCTCTTGTATGCTGTAGAGGAGCGCATGTGTGTTTGTGTCAGTAGGCTTGATATTTAGAAGTGATTAGAGAAGGGTTTTCATGAGAGAGAGCAGAATCAGAGGCATCTTCGGTTCCCTGTTGCTGTGGGGCTTCTTAACACTCGCCGCCACCACATCACTTAGGTAATTCATATTTACACAAGCTGTCTAATATCTTTTGCCCTATTGTAAAGATATAAACATGTTAACCACATGCAGTCAACATGCTCGTGGCCTTTTTGGAAAGCATGTCAGTTAAAGTGGAAGCAGGTAATTGTTTGAACTGACTTGGCTTTCCACCCCACCCATCTGCCAGCGCATCTTTACTGGATAAGACAGAGGGCGAATCAGGCATAATTTGCTCCCATTAACTCTGATTAGAATCTGTTGCACTACTGTGATCGCAGCTAGGGACGATTTTTCTTCTGTAATTATAACATTGATTATCTGGAGCAGAGCTTTTAAATAAATCCTGCGCACTGAGCCGGGACTGTTTACAGAGCTGGCAGAATATGCACATGGCAAGTTTTACACAGGATATTCATATTTCTGTGTTGTTTTTAAGGCTAGATATTTACTTGGAGACAGCTTTAGTGCAGTTTTGGCCTCCATTTGGGGGTGGGGGGGCTGTCACTGGGATAGTGCAGGAGAACAGAGCAGGAGGTGAGTGGGGGGTAGTAAAGATCTCCTCCCTCAAGGTTAATTATGCACTTATTGTTATGTGAAAGTCGGGCTTTCACTGCCATGCATCTGCTGCCTTCAGCATGGAAATGAAGAAAACTAGCTAATTATTTTTAAACACAGCACTACTGTGTAATGAAAGTGCAAGATGGGGGAGGGGGGAATGGAAGGGAGGGGAGGGAAAGAAGAGAGAGCAGCTCGAAGGAGGCTGAAGTTTGCATGTCGTAGCTTTTGCTGCTCTGAAATGGCATCATGACTAATCATGGCAGGATCCTTAAAAATAGTTTATCTATTTCTACACTCAAGATCAACACAGAGGTGTGTATATGGTGTGTGTGTGTGTATGTGGACACTGGCCAGCAGCAGCAAAGAAAGAAAATAGCCTCACAGAAAAAAAGCTCACTATTATTACACAGGCGTACAGAGACGCTCGCCGTTCACGATACTGTGACAGAAGAACAGCTTCTCCCGTGTTGACAGATTGATTTGTTCACCAGAAAATTCCACAGTTGTTTATTTGATTTAGGGCCTCTGAAGTGCAGAGCCATGAGGGGGATTTATTGATTTGGTCTCATAAGTCAATTATGCATATAGCATCTTGAGTAGTCTCTGCAGAGCTAGCTGTTGGCTGTATTTACTCAAGCCTCTGATTTAAGAAGGGATTATAATAAGAAAGGTTGTAGCTAGAAAGAGCAACGTTTTCTAAAGACCTACACATGTTTAAAGAGGGCAACGTGAAGAAAGATTTAACCAGCGCTCCCCTGACACATGTAAGGTTGAATGTCAAAGGCTAACAGGAACAGAAGCGCACATCTTCTTAAGAAGCTTAGGACTAGTTTGATGCCAAAGAAGCGCAACAAGAAAAACAGAACAACAACATATGAATACACTAAAAACATGCAAACACTATAAATGGATTTTAAAAAAGGGTAAGACAATTCTTTCCATGTAAAATGTTGCAGCCAAAGCATTAAAACAGTTGGGAAGTCTCAGGTAAGTGCACACAAAGTCACTCGTACAGTGTGTTGGACAACCACACCTGAAGGCACCATCATGCAAAAAAAAGAGAGGAGGTGTGATTATTCAAGCCGTTATCGTGTAATTATAACCTCCAATCTCATAATTATGAGCCCTGGTAACAGGAGTTGCACCCATGTTGCTGCTGCAAACATCATAATTTATTGTGCACTTTATTTTGATTGCTGTGAGATCAGTATGAGCTCCTTTCTCATAATTATAAGGTACTAACTTTTAATTATGAGCTAAACCTCCAGTGTTTTTGTGCTTCTGTAGATAATGGAACAGTTTGTCTCTCCTTCAAAGTAGTCATGGTGCACCAGCCGCTGTGTGCAGTTTGGAAAGTTGCACAAACATTTTGGGGACTATAAATATTAAAGAATACAACATGGTGAACAACATACACATGCCTGAAGACTTGTGCTTTCTCTTGACTGACTGCAAATACTCAGCCAGTCAGGTCCAAACTACATTTTTACTATTTCCACTTCAGGTGGTGCTAATCAGTGCTGCAGAGAATGTCAGTTCTCACAGCCTCTTCCAGTCATTCACTAATTATGACTCATTTGTTTCAGTGACCCTGACAAGCAACTGAGTTAGTGGAGGGTTGTTTTTTTTTGTGACTAACGTGAAAAGCATGCAGGACAGTGAAGGCTGCTCAGCATCTTGGAATTCCTTGGAATGTACCCTCTATATTTTGGAGGAGGAGAGAATAAACAGGAGGCCGATACTGGGAGTGAAAGCAAAGCTACACAAACACAGGGATTACATAACACTGTTGCCCTGTGGGAAACAGGAAGTAGACAAAAACCACAAGTCCCCACACAAATGTGATGGAACTTGGCTCTTCAGCATGACGCTGGTGCTGTGGTCTACCTGGCATGTATGTGTGTGTCTCTGTGTGCGTTCGGGTGTGATGCTACATTATGGGGACACAAACCCGTTCATGTTGACAAATCGGTAATCGCACACTGCTTTGTTAAAACCTGTTATCATGAATAAAAATAGGTTAAAAAACAATGCATCTTAAATTATAGGTCAACTGTTTGTCAGAATTACACTGTGGTAAGAGGTGGCGGGACAGTTTAGGTGCAGTCTTTTCAAATCAAGTGTCAAGTTGATTATTTGGTGTTTTACCATAACTGAGCCCACATTGGTGTCGGTGTACTGGCCTACTAATTGAATTTACATGGTTTGTAGCTGTACAATATCTATCTTTATTTTCTCATAACTTTCCAGGATAAAACATGAGCCTGTTCTTTGCTTTCTAGTATCTAGAGGAGCAAGTCAAGTCTCACAGGTCTAAAGTCCTCATTTCTGTGACTCAAGTCGTGACATGAGTCAGTCTTTGGTGTAACTGGTCACATACAGTATGTGAACGGTCATAGTTACAGGTGGTGTTGTACTGGACTACATTATATTCAGAGGTGTTCCTAATATTCTGATCCTCTCATGTATGTCAAAAATATAGAGACACCTCTGAATATAATGTAGTCCAGTACAACAACACCTTTAACTATGACCTCAGTAATGAACATATTATTGAATTTATTTATTTACATTTATTACAATTTCACCAAAAACAAACATTTTGAGCTTCATAAACACAGATGTTAATGATGTTAAGGCGAAAGTGTTGCACTGAATTGCTTACAATTGTAGAGGTGTATCTAATAAAGTGGCCAGTGAGTGTATGACTCATATACATTTTAGGATTGGTTAATGCTTTACACTCATCCTTGTCTTTTTTCTAATTGACTAAAACTTTCAGACAGACCGCTGCGTCTAGAAGTAGCTTTTTGTCTGTGTTCACTGCGGTTTACCGTAAATAAGGTGAATCATCTGTGGCGAGGACAGCTGAGAACACACTTCCCATAATAGAAAAGTGAAGAGAAAAATGGGAAATGGGAAGGAAATGCAAAAGAGCTGCAGATTCAGCCTTTGAGAAATTAATATGGTTAAACTACATGGTGTTAAGTCTGCAACTGGCCCTGCACGCCCCTGGTAAACCTTTACTTAACCTGATTAGAGCTGGTCTGCGGACAGTGTGGGTGGGTACAGACGGGGCTGGATTATCATTTGCTGTTGCAGCCTCATGTCAGTTCCCTTGTACTGTAGCTCTTGTCAGCTTCACACCGAGATGAGGCCTAATCAGCCAGAAGAACTGAAAGCCCCTGTGTGGGTGTGCACACCATTTAAATCTTTTACTCACATTTTTAAGTCAGTTCATGGTTTCCACTTGCACCCGGACAAACACGGAGTGTGGATATGCTTCTGTTCGTACTACAAACAAGGGAGCGCATGTGAGGGCCCCCAAAGAAGAAGCGCTCCTTTGTTTGTTGCATTTGGCCGAAGACAATTAAAAACATCCAAAACAAATACATTTCCAGGTTTCATTTTAATAAATTGAAGCCAAAGCTAACATTCAGCAAATGCTTACTTGCATCAATGTTACTCAAGGTTGCAAAGTTTTCTTTTCCTTCCCTCATTCCTCAGACATTAATGTCACACTGAATGTGACATTTTCAGATTTAGGCTGCTTTCACGCGTTTTCTTAAACCAGACACAAATTTAATTTGCGACAGTGTGACCTCAGTCTCAACAGTCATTTTGAGTTCATGCACCATTTACCGCTTCACAGAGGAAGTTGCATGTAACCTGATAACCTCTGAAATTCTGCACAGAAACAGTCACAGCTGCTTGTCAAAGCCACATTTCAAAGTTTCTGCTTAAATTTGCAGCCATTGTTCTGCACACTAACAGTCACATGACACAATCCATTGTCAACATTGGTTAGTGTTTTGCATTTGTGATGTTGCCTGGCAGATGTGATATTTCTTATTCTCTTTTGCATATGCAAGCCTAAAAATGATCTGATCTCAGCCATAAATCAGAATATAGTGTTAATGTTTGTAGTGTGAACAAAGGCACCAAGGCTTCAGATGCTTTTAAGGAGGAAAAAACAGAATAAATGATTTTTTTTTCTCACTTCTTTTGTATAAAAATAATTAAATGCAGTGCTATTCACTGTGAAACTATTGGACAAAATCTTTAGTAGAAATGCTGTGTTTGTATTTTCAAGTATGTGAGCCTGCATTTACTCATGCACGCTCTTCTGTGGTGACTACACTTAAAGCTCTGTAGTGGTACGCCTTTAATAACTGAACACAACACAAGAACACAACAGCGCGCTCACTTTCCACACTTTGATGTCTGCATGTTTTTCAGTCTCCGCGCTGTGTTTTTGTCTCTTTGCAGCCATCAAGGAGAAATACAGCGACTGGACAGAGTTTCTGGTTCAGGACCTGACTGGCTCCAGGACGGCACCGGCCAATCTGCTGGAGGGGGTGAGTGTGTACTCATGTTGAGAACATCTCATAAGGGAATGGGGCAGCTATGTAAGCATTAAGATGAATCTTTCTACAGTTTTAAATCTGTTTTAACTAGACAGCACTCAGAGAGTGCAAACCTCTGCCAAGGCAACTCAGCTTCCCCATAATGCCATTACATCTAAAAGCCATATTCCTATGATAGTCTGACCCTGATAATATGGTTCTTTGACCATAAAAACCAGCCCCTGGCATTTGGAATGGCATTGATATCATTACTGGTTCGAATGTTATTCAAGAAAAACGATAGACATTAACCATTACTAAAGGCAACAAATGGCTAAATAAATGGCCCATGCGGACTGATGTAACTAAGCGCACTTACAACCCTTCATCAACACAGCTCACACCATTCGGCTGCATGTAAGTCCACTTTAGAGTCCATTTTTCCAGCATGCTTCCTGCTATACTTGCCAACTCTGCTTAGCTTCAGTTAACAGTGCAGATGCACAGTTTCACCACTAGGAGGCTCATATACAGTCAACGGCCTTTCCAACACTCACAGTGGTGAAGAAGCCTGTATCCAAATGATGATCTGGATCAGCACCACAATTTAATCAACAGTTCTGTGGGCCACACCCTACCTCTCCAAAATATTTCATCAAAATCAACGTTACTTTTTAAGTTATTCTGTTAACAAACAAATCAACAAATGCCAGCAAAATCACCATAATTTCTATGGCAGCAGCAATGTAAGGTGTGAGAATAAATAATGAGTGCTGTAAGAAGATGACAGATAATGAGGACTGAGAGAGATACGCAGCAAAGAACCATGGCAGAGTTGAACTGGTGGCTTTAGGGTTCACCTGAGCATGGACGGAGCCAGGGGTGGCACCAGCCACCTCAGGAATCTGATTGGTCAAAATAAATAATAAATAAGGAGCAAGACAGCTAAATAAAACAGAGTTTGTCTCATTTTTACACAATATAAACAATTCAATTCTTAATAACATACGGTTTATTATGTCACAGAACTTAGGGGTTACATTTATTTTTTAGATGCATTTCAGATGTGCCACCCCGCACTTAGCTTGTGCCACAGCTTGGCCACCCTGTCCAAAATCTTCTAGACCCACCCCTGCATCTAAGATGAATGATACAAACTTCTGGCTGTAGCCTTATACAGAACAGAGTGGTATAGTATCAGTGTTCTCACCAAACTCTCAGCAAGAAAGCAAATCAGCATGTTTCCCAGAATGTCACACTCTCAATTCAACCCGAAAGGACCACAACAGTAGAACAAAGAAGAGCTGCATTGTTAAAGCTGAGTCATCTGTTGACTGAAACATTTTCTCTTTGTGTTCTTTTACACTGTGGGACCATTTTGAAAACACTTTCTCCAAGATAGGCCTTTTCAGAATTCTGTCTCATGTAGCACTCAAAACGCATAAATGGCCAAGTTTTCAGAACATGATGTTCAGGTGAGCAGGCTAATGAATGATCCAGCCTGGATACCCGTATGTTCAGTTGGTGCAGTCAGGGTGAACCAGGAGAAACAGCTAGACTCATAACTTTTCATAACCTTTTAACTCAGCCTGTGCAACACCAGCTTCCTTTTACCGCTCATCTTTTTGTCACTGCTCGTAAGTGTAACCCTACCGGGTTTGACTCAACCAACAAACCAATGAAATGAACAGAGTCCCAAACATTTTTAAACAAATAAAACTCTGTCTCTCTTGTCAGCCTCTGAGAGGTAAGAATACGGTGGATCTGATTGTTGAGGGCTCGGTCTTGGAACTTCAGGACATCTTGGATCCTTTCCTGTACTGGCCCGTTCGAGTTGTCCAGAACATCGGAGGGAGGCTCCGCCTACGTTATGCTGGTCTCTCTGAGGACCATCAGGTCCATGACACCTGGATGTTCTACCTGGAGGTTAGACTCCGCCCACTGGGCTGGGCCCTGGAGAACGGCCTCGCCTTAGAACCACCCACAGGTGACCGTCTAATTTGCTCACACCTTTCCATTTACCATTATCCAGAAACTACTGTGGTGGCAAGGAAGAACTTTGATTTTTCTAAAACTTAATTACAGTGTGTATGAGAAATGATCATTTGGCCTAGAAGTTAAGGGTGGGATCTGCCCTAACCTGATAGTAACCTGTTATTAAATGAAGATTTATTAACTTAACTTTACTTAGAAATCAGGACTGTAACCATCTTCATTATCAGTTAACTGCTTATTTTTCTATTGATTAATCTATTAATAGTTTGGCCTATAAAACCTCTCCTCATAATTTCCAGTCCTTCCAAATAATTTTTGTCTGACCAACAGTCAAATCTATTCACTTTTCTATAATGGAAGACTAAGAAAACTAGCAAATGTTTAAATCTGAGAAGTCAGAATCAATCGATTATTTTATTATTCTTTTTTACTTTTAATCACAAAATGACAATTGGATTAACTAACTAATAATCCAATTTTTGCTGGAGATTTAAAAGAATTCATGCCTTAAAACATATATTGTATATCTGGTACAACAAGTTTCCACAGACTTCGAAACTATCAGGCTGAATGTAGAAGAAATAGGGAGGAAAATTATTTAATGGTGCCGCCATAATAAATATCTTGGGTTTGAATGTTTAGCATGGTACAGCTAAATGCTGGGACCAACAGAGACAGAAAATATATTTAATATTGACTAATATTCTATATTGTTGTTGTTGTTGTTTTGTTTTGGGTAATTTTAATTTAAAATTTAAAGACAAAGTTAAAAAGGTTTTAAAAGTAAAGGCACAGTAAGAGGCACCATTAAAATCCTTGCTAATAAAATTACTTTTGCTCTTTAATGAAGGTTTTTATGAAGCTGTTGAGTGTGAAAATGAGATGCTTCCATGTTTCTATCAGTTACACAGAGAGAGCGGATCACCAAAATCTAACTTTTGAAATCTTCTCTCCTCCACTCAGGGCTCAGATCCCTAAAGAGCGCCCCCGACTGGCAGCGGGCCCTGGAGGACGCTCGGCTGGATGGACAGAAGAGCCCGCTGCCGCTCGAGGTCTTTAAGGTGAGTCGCCAACAGATTTCTGTGTCGTCCGCAGTGTGTGTGTGTGTGTGTGTGTGTGTGTGTGTGTGTGTGTGTGTGTGTGTGTGATGTTGGCACAGAGCCACCTGTGTGAGACGAAACCCTTTTGCTTCACTGTGACCTCTGTCGTCTGTGGCTGATGTTATGACACTGGGATAATAAATAAATGGTGTAATTTGGTGCCAATTATATGTAAAGTAAGAATGTCCTTGAGAGGAAAACTCAATTTAAACCCAAGTAAATATTTCTTTATTACTCATTTGTCATTGAGGCTTCATTCTAAACTGTCCACCTGACCTTCATAGGTAACTGGAATTACTGTAATTAACTGGAGCTGTACCACATGTACCAGCTCGATTTCTCCTGTAAATTACTCAGCTCAAATCAACCTTTATTGTCCTTTCAACCACATGCAAAGTAGACAGTGAAACTAAATTTCACTATTTCAGGCATTCTGGCAAGAATAAGGACAACAGTACATATAACAAGGATAAAAAAATAAATACTGCTAAAAAAAACTGTCTAAAAAAAGCAATAAAAGCAAAGTGCATTGAGTGCTATGTCATTAAGAACAAGTAGCCAGAGCCCACGACTGCCAATTGTATTGTCTGCGGTTCAAAGTGTCGTGTTGTTTAAAAGCCTGTGGACAATTACACTGTTCTTTCTAGGAGTCTTCTCAAGAAAAGCATAAGAAATGATTCAGAAGTTAGAGGACCATAAAGTAAAATGGTACTACAAAAAATTGTAATTAAATTGATAGAAGTTATAGTAATAAACAGTGCAGCTTTCATGCAGTATGTAGATGCACATTTTTTTCAATCACGACTCTTGCATTTAACATCTTCTGCATTAGAAAGGAGATCTACTGCAAATGTTACATGTGTGAGAGAGATGAAAGAAGCAGAACAATGTTACATGTGTGAGAGAGATGAAAGAAACAGTGAAAGCAGAACAGAACAAGGCACAAATGACAGAGCTATGGGACACACACTTGCTCCTAGCACAAACAGGCTGGAATGCTGCTAAAATCTCAAAATCTGAATGATAGATGGGTTTATTTATTTTGTGTGATTTTAAGGGAGCCGTGCAATAGTCGGATGTATATGGATGCGAGTGTGTAATTTTGCTGGGTTTTTATTATTTATGATTATTTTATTATCGAAGGATTGCATTTTAATTTCGTTGTACAATGTACAATGACAATAAAGATATAAAGATAAAGATAAAGAGACAAAGAGAGAATGAGGAGGAACGAGATGATGAATCTGTCAAATTTAACCCGGAAATTCCTGATCACAAAACCCACAAACACTGCTCCACAAGGCAGAAAAGGATCATTATGTTCCCTAAGAGTATTAATTTGGAGTTAGAAAATCATTCTTCGTGCAGCCCTTATCGTCGCCACACTCAGCGGCTTGTACAAAGGAAATCTTCCTCTCATGTGTTTAACATTTCCAGCTGGTTCAGAACGAACAGAGGATGAACCAGGTGGTTGGGATGTGATCACATGACTAAACAGAACAACCTGATACACCCACCTTTTCATTAACAACTGACCCAGCAGGGTCTGCATGACCTACATTGTGTTGCATGTGTGTGCATTATCCGAAGTGGAGCACATCTTTCTAAAAGTCAGGACTTTACTGTGTTAGGACCACGAAGACCTGCCGAAGCACTCCTTCAAGACGGGGATGAAGTTGGAGATGGTTTCTCCATGGGAGCACCTCCAGATCTGCCCTGTTTCTGTCACTAAGGTGAGTCACACTAAATACCAAGTCGACTCCTCCCTGCTGCATTCTTCAGCTGCCTTTATTAAACATGGCTTTAGGTTTTTTTTAGCATGGTTTTTCCAAGAAGGTTTTTGGATTCCAGGGAGTGGAAAGACTGACATCTTGGTATTTATGTTGTGTCTCAGGAATGCGAACTTCAAACACATAACGCTGTTTAAGTCAGGGACACTTTTCTTTAGATGAATAAAGCTACCAACGCTGTGCTGTGTCCTGTGGTTTGGAATAAAGCTGCCATTAGTTAATATTCTGAGGCAGTTCAGTAGTATAAAGATGCAAATAAGAAGCCTTCTGACGATGTTTTAAAGGATTGTGACTTTGTGATTTTCTAAAAGCCAAAAAGAAGATTTTAAATTATTATTATTATTTGTGATATCGGATACTAGAACAAATAAGGGCTTGAATCCTTCATTTGCTAATCTTGTAATAATACAACAGTGTTTACATATTTTGTACGTTCAGTGTTTTTTAAATGGAATAAGTTAGTTTTCTTTTTACATTTTGAAAGAAGGAAAGTCAAAAGAATTGAATGTAACTACATTACATTTAGAGGTGTCTCTGTATTTTTGTCCTCTCCAGCTACATACATGAGAGGGTCAGAATATTAGGAACACTTCTGAATATAATGTAGTCCAGTACAACACCACCTTTAACTATGATCTTGATAATAAACAGATAATTGAACGTATGCATTTAAAACAACTTCACCAAAAACAAACATGTTGAACTTCATAAGCACAGATGTTAAGGTGGAAGTGTTGCTTTGAAGTGCATACAACTGTACAGGTGTACCTAATAAAGTGGCTGGTGATTGTATATACTTGGTTTTAAAAGATTAATATTTTAAATCCTTGAAATAATTAAGCCTTCGGTGCTGAGTAGGAATAAATGACTTGAAAGTGTTTCATTTAAATTGAATACGAGGCCTAAAGGTGCATCCCAGCAATTTAATATTTCACTTCCATAAAGCTGGGAAAGGTACTATTTTTTATAAGAACAGCAGAGGCTAAGACATTCTGACTTTCAGACCAGCTCAAAGGTAGCGGTGTGCACTGTATATACACAGATATACAGTGCACGCCCACCTCTGGGCAGTGGGATTTACCACAGATATACAGATCCATGTCAGCGCACATCTCGTAGACTACAGACAATCATGTTACAGTCCAACCTCTATGCTGCTACATTTGCACCAATCCTGAGGAGAAGTGCTGCCTGAAGGACAAAGTCAGGGAACAAATGACTCATTGCTGACATTTCTTAACCCGCAAGCTCTGCAACTGACACAACTGCAAATACAAAGCAAACTAGTAAAAACCATCTGACAATGATAACGCAGATGACAGTGAGAGCATTTCCAGAAGGAGACAATGAGACGAACATAACGTTTGATAACAACGTTATACTGTACCACAGGGGGGAGAGTGTTGATCGGTCATGGGGGAAGTATTAGATCCTTAAAGTTGCAGTATTATCTAAAAATACTCCATTACAAGTAAAAGCTGTGCATTAAAGTTGTTTAAGCACATACTTAAACTGAAATAAAAGTAAGCCACACATAATTAGGTGTCAATTTTTTAATTAATATTACTGTGTAAGCTGCATTTTATTGTTGGAGATAGTTTTAACTACTTTCCATGTGATTGTTGGGAGTGTGGTCTATAGCAGTGCATCACATTTCATCAGCTCTGTGTAGAATACAGTAACTAATGCTGTCGAATACATACACATAGTGTGGTTAAAAGTACAACAAATTGTTGCAAAGCAGATGTATGACCCTGGCCACTGATTTATCCAGTAAACAGTTGGATTCCACAAAACATTAGCTTTAATTTAAACAAAAGAAACAAATGATTCATGCCTTTTGTTGTATTTCTGTGGAAGCTGACTAAAAGGTTGTGCCACACTGATGTTACAAACTATGTTCCTCTGCTGTCCCTCCCTCTTCAGGTCTACAGTGAGGTCTACTTCCAGGTCACGCTGGATGATCTCTCTGCTGATGCTAAGCCACAGCCTGTGGTGTGTCACTCCAACTCACCAGGTATCCTGCCCGTGCAGTGGTGTCTGAAGAATGGAGTGTGCCTGGAGCGGCCGCAGGGCTACGGAGGCCAGGACTTTGACTGGGCCGACTACCTAAAGCAGAGCGGGACTGAAGCAGCTCCTGATGCCTGCTTTCCTGATGTAGGTCTGGGGTGACTAGACGCTCGTTTTAACGGTCTTGTTTCCAAGCATTCATTTCAATATCCCCACAAAGTTGTGCTAATGCTGACCATGCTACATTTCAGAGTTTGTGTCACAAAGGCAGAATCAGGGGGAATACAGGTGTTTTCATGTATTAGCCACCGATTTTAGCTTTAACATAAGAACTATCCATGACTAAAAGCAGTTCAACAGGTAAAAATAATTGGGTAATCAGATGTATACATGGCAATTAAGGGCTGTGCCATACGAAAGTTGACAAATGAAACGCATCCACCAACAACTTAGCAAAAACAACTTGCAAAATGTCAAACACTTTGGAACAAATAAACAAAATAATGAGAAAATGCATGAAAAGACAGAATACAGTGTTGTGCTGGTAATAATACTGTATTCTGCACAAAGTAAAAAAACAATACCAACAATATGGTTCAGAGAATGGTACTGATGGAAACTGCAATAATGAGTTTTTCCTGTTTACAGCATATTTAGAGCCTATTTTCTAATGGCAGTCGCTGAATGTTTCCATATTAATAGTGGTAAATTGCATCTGGCCTGACACACTGGTGTGTTGTATCATCTAAACACACTACAGCGCTGCTAATAAACCAAACCAAGTGATGCTACGATTCACCGGGTTTTCATCGCACACTCTTAATGTGACGCTGTGCAGCCTGACAGACTGTAACTGAGATCTTACTAGAGCCTTCTGGCACTGAATCTGCAAAATCAGTTATTGTAAAAGACTGAAATCAGTTGGAATATCTTGTAAGCTGAGCCCAGCTTTAGGTTATCTCAGGCTAGATCACTATCCTGAATGTACATTAAATTCTCTCTCCTCCCCACGTTTGTGCGTGTGCGTGTTCAGACGTGGCAGAACAGAGGCTTTGCCAAGGACATGTGGCTGGAGGCGGTGAACCCTCGCCAGCCAGCGGAGGTGTGCGTGGCTCAGGTCACGCAGGTCAGAGGACGCCTGCTGTGGATCCGACTGGAAGGTACAGGAAGGATTCAGTGTCCCAGGACTCCTGCTGTGAAGCTGAAAACCTGGGTGTGTATGTGCGATAGCTCCCTCAGTCCTGTTTTCTCTCTCCTGTCTCCAGGTGTGGCGAAGCCCCTGTCAGAGTGCATTGTGGATGTTGAGTCTATGGACATTTTCCCTGTTGGCTGGTGCGAAGCCAACGCTTACCTTCTGACCTCTCCAGTCAAACCCATCTGTATGTACACACACACACACACACACACACACACACACACACACACACACACAGAACCAAAAACATAACCTCCTTAACAAAAACATAACTTCTAGACTGAAAAACTCTTTCTTTCCAACTGCCATCAGGCTCCTAAACAGCTGACAGGAGTATACAATCAGGGCTTATTTCATGTAATTCCACCTGTACTGTTTACATTCCAAGTTTACACATGCACACACATGCACATTTGCACATGCATAATTGCACACTCACTGCTCCCCATTGCACATACAGCTCTGACAGCATACATTCTCTCTTTATTATAAACGTTATATTTTTTTTTAATTATATTTGTTTCCACTTGCCGTTTTTAAGTGCCTTTAGATTTTGTGCACTATTTATCTACTTTATATTTCACTTTGTATTGTTTGGCATTCATTGTAGACAGCAAAGTAAGAATTTCACTGTACAGGGAAACAGTTTCCTTACTGTGCACATGACAAACACTTTGAATCTTTGAATTTTGAATCTTGGTGGAGGTAGCTAAAGTCTAGCAGAGTGCTGGTCAGATACAAACAAAACCTAGAGAACAATGAAACTAAGAACTGGACTGCAGCAAGCATACACCAAACAAACAGGAGACCAACATCCAAACCTTTAGACTAATACAGATCTCCACATTAAGGTAGGAGATATATAAACAAATGAACAAGAAGTCAGCAAGTCAGAGGCTATTCAGTCACAACATAACATCCAGAGGATGGCAGTCTTAAATAATATCTTAACTGTAGCAGATGAGAAGATTGGAGAAGGCGCAAACATTTCAGAGCATGGGAGTGGAATGAGCCACAGACCAGCAGCTGGCATCCAGGGCTAGCAGCAGGCAGAGACCAGGAAAAAGACAGAGTGAAGCAAACCAGTGAATAAAACAACCGACAACCGACTGAGGGCGATGAGGTGAATATAAAGGACAGCTAGCCAGCTAGCATTCACATAAAATGAGCTGCAATATCATTTTCTTTTAAGTCAATATTGTGAGTTTAGCAAACACTTGCAACATTAGTATTCTGTACGTCAAGTCTGTGGTCCAGTGGTGAATGGAAGTCTAATATTCACAGTCCTTTTTGTTCTGTTCACAAGCAGGAACCTGTCCTCACTACGTACAAATGGAAGTATAAGGACAAATGAATGAACTATAAGGATACTGAATGCTTGTGTATACTTGGTTGCTTGTGCGCTTGACAGTTCTGGGCAAGGTTATGGAGGTCTGTGCCACTCTTGGACACTGGCAGTAAAGTTGAAGACCAGGCAGCTAAACAATGGGCTGAAACTCTCTGTAAAGTTTCACAAAAACAAGGGTGGGATGGAGATTCGGGTGATAATGCTCAGTAGGCCCATCATTAAGAGCACCCCCTTTCACACAGTCACACTGGTTTCACATTACCTAATTACATAAAGCTTTGAAAGCTTCTCTGGTTGGTTGTATTTAAATTTCCTGTGTGCTTCATATGTGGTTGTGGCCCTAGTAAATTTGCATAAACATACAGTAAAACAGTCGGTAAGGATTTTCAATATGATGGTAAGTAGTAAACAATCTGTTTGCTCTGCTTGTGGGATGTAGCAGCGCTTCATATACATTCCAGCTGTCCTCAGTGTCCAAATGTTCGTTCATTCATTTTTATGGGGCCACAACCAGAGACAGAAAAGTCGCCTGGTTCATGAGAAATTGCTGAACTAGATGTAACACTTAACTGGCTTTAGATTTAAATAGTTTGGTGGTGCACTTGACTGCTTTCTACCCAGAACAATTTACAATTTCAAAGTCTCCACAGTGAATCACTGTGAAAATCCCACTGAGGCTAGCGGCCTCTTCTTCAAGGGAGCCCCGTGGACCAGCTGATAGATCTAATCCACGCAGCCGGTCACGTGCAGCACTGATCCCAGTGCACATCAAAAAATGAAAAGCAACCCTGTGATGCTCACGTATGTTCACAGCATTTAGAAATGATCCCCTCTACCTCGAAATGACCAGGGTACTTCTTACTGATCCTAACCAACCCTGACCCTGTCCCGAAGTGCACTCCATACTGGAACGGTTTGATGAATTGGGGGTGATTTCTCAGCATCTCTTGTTTCTATCCTGATCCCTATTTTATCAACACTGACAGCATTAAGCTAAATTCTGTTGTGAAATTGTGTTAAATGGCAGCAACGTCATTGTTCCCAATCCAATTAAACACAAACAGTGTAACCAGAGTTTCTGCCAATGCCGGACAAGGCAAAATCATTACTGTGGGTAGAAATACAGCCTGCATCTCGAAGAGGTGCTCCAATAAACCAGTGTGTCCCACTGGACGTGCTATAAGGTTCAAGAGTTTTATTTGCCATTTATGTATGAACAGACAACAAATAAGATAATAGATGAGATGGTGAACTTCAAATATCGCACACAGTAATAAATGTATCACTCTGCTGGACCATTTCACTTTTCTGATGTCAGGTCGCTTGTCTGCCCTCAGAAGTGAATCACAAGCAAAATAGAAGGCTAAACTCAGTGTAAAGTATTTTCTGAGTGTTTGATTGTTTGGTTTCATTCTATTTATAAATAATAAATATGTTAAAACAAGCCATTAACGACAGCGCGGTCATGTCTTCAGTATCAGTTGTGGGAATTAGGCGATTCAGTGATTAAAAACATATTGTATTCTATGTGTTTTTAAAATTCTTCTGATGTTTAACAACATCAGTGGCATCAGTTCATCAACGCTTGTATGTGTTTAATGAAAGGTAAATTAAAATACAATAGATTTAGTTTCTTTCACAAGAATTTCAAACTGAACAGTGCAGAAAAAGCTTTTAACAATAATTAGACCATAATATAAGGTTGTACAAAAGTAAATTGGGAAATTTGGTGATTTAAAAAAATACTTTTACACTATGGTTTGAAATGTATTTCTAAATCACTAGAAGCAAAAATGAAGGCCTAGCTGTTTATGTGAGAAAGTGAAGGTGGATTTTGGGACACATTGTGAAATGACTGATGCTTCTTGACTGGACAGTCTCAACAAAAATACACTTTCAAACGATATATTTCCAACTGTTCTAGAACCTCACACTGCACACACATTTACTGTGAACTTGTTTTATTAGCACCTTGCTAGTTTTTCACTTGGATTCTATCGTTCCACACATTCGTGTGAACATTTTTCTTAGCACTTTGCTAGTTTACTGTCTTCTGAATTGCGATGGACAGAAACAAAATGCTGATGGATTTCGCTGAAGGAACCGGGCTGAACTACAAACCAATCAGGGTGCTGTTCAACACACCCATATATGAACGCGCCCTGCTGATCTGCTGGCATATCAGCTCCTATAAGGATGGAGATCGCATTGGTGGTTCAATTTTTAAGGCTTCAGCAGAAGAAACAGATCCCGCCTGAGGTGACTGCTGAAGACATGATCAATCTGCTGGTGGAGAAGAGCAAGAATACACTTCGACTGCAACTCTGGGAGTTTGAATTGGAGGGTTACAATGATGATGAAGAAGTCTTACCTCTTCTGAGGTTGGTGTGGGACGTGAACACCAGCATGCAGATCAGAGACATTGAGTTTGAAGCCAGAAAGCTGCTCGACTTACCAGCAACCATACCTCCCAGGTTTCAAGACCCCAGGGTTCTCAGTGAAGCTCAGAAATATGCTAGGACCCTGAGAGAGCAACAGCAGAAGTCTCCCAGCTCCAAACCTCTGAGCCTACAGGAGGTGGTGACGGAGGTGGTTCCAAAAGTCCTGCAAGGCTTCTGGGTCCCTCCGTCAAGCACCTTCCTTAACATGCCCTCCCAGCAGCTCAGTAAAATGGCAGTCGGAGTCACAAAAGCTGTTCTGGATCGAGTCTCCAGAACTCTACCCTCCCTACCCTGTCAGGTAACCTTTTCCCGCTCCATCAGAGACAACATGGTCCAGTCAATTCAGGAAAAGGTGAGGCAGAGGTTCACTCCAGACAATGTGAGGAAAAGGCTAAACTGCTCTGCAGCTGAGGTGTTGAACACCATCACCGATGTAGCTGTGGGGGAGATCTGTGTGTTATTTGAGCCTCACATTGCTGAACCTCATAAAGAAAGCAGCTGCTCCCAGCCAGCAGACACAGACGATGGTGCAGAGGCCAAAACCAGGCCTGGTGAAGATGGGGCTGGCCAGACTGGCTGGTCCTGTCAGTTCAGGAAAAGGTGAGGCAGAGGTTCACTGCAGACAGTGTGAGGAAGAGGCTGAACTGCTCTGCAGCTGAGGTCTTGAACACCATCACTGATGTAGCTGTGGGGGAGATATGTGTGTTATGTGAGCCTCACATTGCTGAACCTCATAAAGAATGCTGTATGCTGTATGCAGCGAGCTAGTTAGCTGGACATGCTAATGTTTGTAGGCCACATTGGAGCAGACAATGCACTGTTTGAATCCATTCAGTTTTTGGCTTTGAGGAGGTTAAAACAATACCACCCTCCAAACTCTTACTGAGAATCACTTTACTACAAACTCATACAGACAAATCCAAACCTATCTTGCTAAGTTTGTTGCTGTTTAAAATATCAGTGGCTTTCAAATATATTAATAAAATATTATTGATTACACTATTTTTGGAATTGTTTCTTCCTCTGAATACTGGGTTTTATCCTTTGTGTAAAAAAGCTATCAAATAACCTTTGTTTACATTTAATACTACAATAACCTTATAAATATGAGCATCTGTTGTTTTTGTCAGTGTTGGATATTTTATTTTGAAAGGTGCTCTTCTGCTGTGCCTGTGGATGTGGATGCCATTCTCAGGAAGCTGAGCAGGGCCCATCATGGGACTGTATGCATCCTTTTGTCATCTCCTCATTTCCTCACCTCTTTGTTTCCTCAACTCATCACATCCTCTTTTTCCATCACATCTGTCCTGACTTTCCTACCTGTATCACTTCCTCCAATTTCCATTGGCAATCAGTCGTTGTTGGGGGCCAGGCTAATCACTGAAACAAGTAAACAAGGGGAAAGGTGAGCAGAGTGCATCACAATCAGTAACGGTACTGTGGACAGATTGCTGTTGAGATAGCAAGAGCTTACACGCATACACGCACACTAGCACACACAGTGTCACAGAGGTCAATCTGAACAAGACAATGATGAGGTGGGATCAGTGCTAAATGGTTGTTGCATATTTAACAAAGAGAAATTCCTCAAAGTAGGTCTGTACTTCATCTGACCTCAATTTCTCATTTCCTCTGCCAGTGCGCACACACACACACACACACACACACACACACACACACAATTCCCAGGGAGTGACAACTTAATGCGTGCTTTCTCTTTAACTGTCTCCACAGGCCAGAAGCAGAAGAAGATAGCAGTGGTTCAGCCAGAGAAAAAGTAAGTAAAACATATTTATCAAAACTTTCTGATAGAGTGTGTATACCCAAACCGAGCGTGACGGGACCCGTCGGGTTTGAATGGTTGGGTTCAGGTCGGGTTGAGACACGTAGGTCAAGTTTTATGTAGATGGCTGGGGCACTGAAATGTCTGCTCCACTTATTGATAAGGGTTAAAACACTGTACAGACTCAGCTGTGTCATGCTCGGGTCAGGTTCGGACATTTTGTACAGTACTATAAGCTTGTTAGATCCCGGTTGTGTAACCACACTCTCGGGCATGGGTCAGGTTTGGACAGAAATACGCAGCCCCATCCATGCTCTCCTCTCAGATACTGGGCCCTGTTTTGATGATGTAAAGGGCACCTTTCCAGGCGCAACAGTCAAGGTGCATACAGGGTGTGTCCAGAGCAATTTTGCTATTTTGACGGCACAAAAAGTAAATCTGTGTCAGGCAATTGTTTTAAAAGGGTTGGACTTGCTCTCTTAATGAGCCCATGCCTGTTGTAATATGCAAGAAACCAGTCAAAATGCCATCTCCCATTCCCTTCAAAAGGCAGTCGCGCTGGTACCACAGCTAATATGACGGAGGATTTATCTGGAGGGAGACTGGAGCAGGTTAAATACCTACATGTAGAGCCACGACATGTTTCCAAATACCTCAGTGTACAGGGTATTAATTCTAATTCTGAAAACATTCTGTTTTTAATCTGTTGCATTTTAGTGTGCTGCTGCTCTAAGTGGCAAGCAACGTGTCTGTGCCTTGTGCACTCGCTTATGCACACGCGTATTACTAACTTGATCCAGCGCCTTGCTGAATGCTGAACTGTTGACTTAGACTAGTGTTTTGTTGGTCACTGCCGCAATTCCTTATCGCGTCCTCAAGATACTAAGTGCGCCAAAACACACCTACAAAGGCCCCTTGGTCACATCGCCACTCCCAGGTGGACTAAAGTGTATGTGGTATCTTGACGGTGCAGGTGCTAGGAGGAATAAAAGGACACCGCGTCAGGTGCAAGATTACACTTTGACACAGGACTGTATGCCTGGCGCTGGGTGGAAGATATGGGCCACAGCCTCATGCTGAGCAAACAAAGTGTAAAGCGAGTCCTTTACTTGGCCGTCACACAGCAGCAGGGTCTCTCCTTGCATGTGCACTCAGCACTGATAAAAAGGAGTCTGCTTCATAAATACTGTACGTGATAAATGGAAAATGAAAAAGTGGCCACAGGTATCCCTACACACATACATCACTGTAGCATCACCTTTCCACCTGTGAGCCAGAAACTCAGTAAAGGTTTCTCCAGGAAACCCTGCAGGCCCAAGCCCCTCTCTTACTTCAAAGCCATTAATTGAAACTGTGGCTCTTCACAGCAGAAACTGCATCCCCGGGGCACTGATTGATTTTGTTGACAAATGACACGTTACACCGTCGGCTGGCAAACACGGCCCCGGGAGTACGAGGGGGAAATGGCGGATGGGGCGCAGCAAAAAGATGAAGCCTTCAGCGGCACTTTGTCAGCTCTCTCATCTCACCACTAATTTCATTCCTCGGCCCCTCACCCTCAGGGGAATCCTTTCATCACCTGCTGCCTTAAACCCACCTGCTTCTGACTGAAACTCTAGTAGCTGCTGTGTAGACTGATCAGCTGAATGAGCTATCATTTGGTTGCTCTGTTGTTTCCTGTTTGATTAGATCAGTTGGGTAATTTTATTGATTAGTACGACTGGATTGATTGGCTTTTCCTGCAGGTGGGCTCCATCCCAGCCGGTGGAGACGACTCCTGTCAACCACTGCCAGCTCGTCACCATGGATCCAGGTAATCAAAAGCCATGTTACGCATGATTTAAACCCAGTATTTGAGGCTCCACTCAAACATCACCAGCTTTAAGTTCCTCGCCTTCTTCAAAAGCCTTTTCAGACATGAAACGCGTAACACTGTTGGCTTCTTTTATCTGTTAGCAGTGGCTTTCTGTCATTCTGGTTGAGGTGCACATTAGTTTCTTAAGCCTATATTCCGACATGACAGAATATTTACAACTGTTCTTGCAAAATAGCCACAGGGGGCACAGTGCTGCAAAGCCAGGTGTCAATCATAATGAATGGCAGCTGTCAAGGTCCCAGCCTTTTGAATCCATATGTGTGAACTGATTGATCGGCCGGAGATCAGAACCGACTGGTTTTCAGCTCGGTCGGCCGCAATCAGTCCGAGATATCTGCTTCTATACCGGTCAAATTTACATGTATGATGGTTCACGATGTGCCCACAGCTGCACGGACAGCCACACACACGTACATAATGTAGACCAATTTTGTTTTTGCTCATGGGGGATAATCATTAAGTGATAACGGTATTATGGTGCTCCCAATAAGCGATGTGCCTTTTGGCTCCCTCTACATATTTTACCCTGTGCTGCTGAACTCTTTATGTCAATCTGACAACATTCCCTCCACACTTGTGCCATGTTGGAAGTGTGACACAAATGTTACTGTTCTCTTATTCACGCACAAAGTTGAAGTGTAAAATTGCCGTCACATTAGCATAACGAGGTGCTATGTCTGAGAGAAGCTTTTGTCAACCCAAAGGCGAGCGCGATTGTTGACAGTGTAGTAATTCTTCTCTTTCGAGGAACAGCCACGCTGGGGACAGAATAATATGCTGTAGCCTGGTTTGATTCATGAGATTATTGAAGAATGCAAAGAGCAGCGCCAACACGATGCTACTTCTTGTAGCTATATTTAATACTGTGACCCGATGAGTGGGTTCATTTTTAAAACACACAGCTGAGGAGCATGTCTCTGTGTGCTTAGTGAATGCTGTTACAGGGAAAGCCCCGATTTATCACAACCATATGAGAGAGCTGAAACATTTCTCTGCTTTCAAATTTTATTGTAGCGACAGTGAAACAACTACAGTGTATGTATTTGGCTTTGCATCAGCTGGAACAAGTAGAATACACCCACAGACAAAAAAAAATCAGAGCATCCTGTGTTTAATCCAGTGTTTTACAACTCTATCTTGGTAGTTCTCTCCATCTCATTTATTTAACTTAAGAGACGGTTACAAGTTCCATACCCGTGTGATCAAAGCCAACATTCAGGAAACAATGCTCAGGTAAAATTATTGATTTTGCTTAAAAGACTGGTGGGAGGCAAAGCAGGCGTATTGGTGATGTTTCAGCAGCAACAGTGTTGTGTTTGTAGTGGGTCTGGTTGTAAACAGAGTGCATGTTCAAGCACAGAGAGAGCGGGGGGGGCTAAGCGTTGTTTCCACGAGACCCTTGGCCTCTTTTCCAAGTTAACCTGTTGATAAACCACCCACTCGCTCATGCATAATCGTAAAGTAATTACTGTTCACTCCTGGCAGTGCCGGTCCAGGTGCCTAGACTGTCAATTGTGGAATAAAAGGCCAAAAAGAAAAAGTCTTGCTAGTCTAAAAGTGAAGAGGAATGTGTTTTAACAAAGTAACTGTCCTAAAGACTATGGTTTATGCTTATTCTAAAATGTCAGGACACCGGGTCACAGTGTAAGCCCATATTTCAGCCACAAGCCTGCACAGATGTGGCAGCCAAAAGCTACAATGTTTCTACTGCCCAAGTTAAAAATAAACGGAAAAGTGTTGTTTCATAATATAGTGTGCCATTTTTAATAGATGTAGAATTTAATGTGCAATCTGTGTTTGACTGAAATGGAGCCGATTCATTTAGATGACTCAGTACTATCACCACAACACATGGCCACTCCCGTTAGGGGTTGCCACAGCGACTGCAATTTGCGTGAGTAATTTGGCACCCTCTCTATTTATCTGGGCTTGGGACCGGCACAGAAGTCACTGACGTGAAACCCCTGTGGCTGGATACACAACCACTCCTGGGGGCAATTTAGAGTCATTTAGATGACTTAATAGTGACGCTTAATTCCCAAGAAAAGATTGTTGTTTTTTTTAATTGATGAGCTATATTTCATGCTGGTAAAGGGGGGAAAAATATAAACCTACTGCTTACTTTAATTGTTTTTAAAAGAGGCAATTATCGACCTAGGACAAGTTTCATATTGATTTCCATGCTGATTAATATTCCTGTTCATGGTCTTTCCTCTGTCTCAGGCTCAGCCAATGGCAGATACTGCTGCTCCAAGATTTTTGTCAACCATCGCTGTTTCTCAGGACCCTACCTCAACAAGGGACGTATTGCTGAGCTGCCGCAGGCTGTCGGGCCAGGAAAGTGCGCGCTGGTCCTCAAAGAGGTAGGCTGATGTCAGAAGCAGTGAGGAGAGACAGAGGAGAGCGGGTGTAATCAAAGAGTTTCAAAGGGAGATGAGGGCCGACAAAGGCTGAACGAGGTAGGAGGTGAAAGATGGAGGACGAGACAGTGCTGTCTTGTTAACCACCTGCAGCGTCCCAGCAGTGCCTTCACTTTAATGTGAGGACCTGTCAGTCAAGTGTGTTTACACATACACAGTCACTGCGGCTCAGAAAAACAGCCTCTTAATTTCTCTAGAGATTGTGTTGGTTCATGCACATTCTGTACGTGCGCGCTTGTAGTATCGCAATTATTTGTAAAGACGAGCGTGATCTGTGTTTGTACAGTTACTCTGATTCTTACCGAGACATTTATCTTCCTAATGTGAGCGCTGCTTTTTCCTCCAGTTGCTGAGCATGCTGATCAATGCCGCCTACAAGCCCGGGCGGGTCCTAAAAGAGCTGCAGGAGCTGGAGGATCTGAGCTGGGACTGCCAAGAGGAGACCCTCAAAGCCAAGTGAGGAGACCAACATCCAACAGACCAGAGCAGATTGTTTTCCCAAATAGTTTGGTCCTTTTCTGGTTCTGGTCAGTTTCACGGGCGATCTTATTGAACTCTGAAGCCCTAAACTTTCATTTCCATTTTGTCTTTCATGCCTAATATTTGCTGAATCATAATACATCAGACACCCGCTGTTACAAATGATTAGCAGAGCACACAGTGAAGAGCCTGGTGTTCTTTACTTGCTGTCCCTAAGAGCCCTCCATTCAATTCTTTGTGTTACTTCAATTGCGCAGTGGTTTGTGTGAGCTCTGCATTTTCTTCCACTGCAGGTTGCATAGAGTCAAATGACTCCACAGCTCCAGGTCTTGTGCTCTGTGGTTTCTAATCAACAACAAAATGGGAAAGTATCAGCCAGTCATAAGTTCTAGTGAGTCACCTGTGCAGAGCAGAGCCATCACGTTCACGCATGAATGTTCTGACTCGATAAAGAGGTTACATTTCATTTTCTGGGGCGTTTAAGGCTCAATTTATTTACTTTTTACTTCAATTAATTGAGAAAACTAGAAGTACTGCTTCATGGTTGTACGCCTCCACCAGCCATAAATTAATGGGTATGGGACAAAAGTGAGGTCACTGACCTTTGACCAAAATTAAACCAGTTCATCTTTGAGTCCAAGTGGGCACTTGTGCTAAATATGAAGAAATTCCCTCAAGGCGTTCCTGATATATCACCTTCACAAAAATGGGCCGGACAGACAGACAAGCCAAAAACGTAATGCCTCCGACTGTGGCTATCGCCGGCGCAGAGGCATGAAAACCGTAATGCAAAAAAGGAGAGGTGTATTTATCGGATGTATTGGAGGTCAACTATTATGATTATTTTCATAATCAATTCATCTGCTGATCATTTTGTTTTACAAACCCAAAGATATTCAATTTATAACAACATAAAACGAAAGGCAGTCTTGCTGGAACCACAATTGTTTGGCATTTTTGGCTGAAAAACCAAAGCCATGAACTGATTATTAAAATAGTTGAATTGTAATTCATTTTTCCCTTGTTGCTCTACTCTTTCTCTGACTTACTAGTACATTTTAAAGCTTACACAGAAACACCAAAACCTTTGGACTACTACTGATTAAGTCAGAATACAACACTGCAGCTTCAGTTTTTAATCTGTTTAAGAAGTGACCTAAGTCGAGCATAGATTGGCTTCAGACAGTCGACACCAGTTTGCAGATTCATCCTTGAGAGCTGCCAACAGATCAGCTCAGCTCTCCTGACCTTAGCCAATAGATGGAGCTTGCAGAATTGACCCAGCGTCACACTGCATGTCACACTCATCGCCCTCATCAACGAGACAATGTGAATTCATGCCAGCACTTCTAAAGCAGCAGGCAGTCGCCGCTCACTGTCAAGTGCTTTGGTGGATCACAGTTTAATTATCCATTGTTCTTAGAAATAAAAGTGGGATCACTGGCTGACAGTGTCATTACATCTTCATCCTCTTTCCTTCTGTTCTTCCAGATATAAAGGGAAAACCTATCGCTCCACCATCCGGATAGTCCGCCTGGCAGACCAGATCCCAGACTTCTGCCGTAAGGTGTGCGTGAAGCTGCAGTGCTGCCCGAACCTGTTCAGTCCTGTCCTTGTCATCAACCAGTGCCCGGAGAACTGCTCCGTTCAGACCAAAACCAAATACAGTGAGTCTCTGTAATTACGAGCATGTCTTTGCAGCGAACAAGACCCAAATGAAGCCTGTGGCTGCAGAGTGTACAACTGCCTCTGATGAGTAGCTGAAGCTTGTTTTGGGTGCATTGTTTTCCACACCTGCTGTGTCGTCCACAGCCTGTTACTATGGGAAGAAGAGGAAGCTGTCCAAGCCGACTGGGGGAGAGGAGACAGCGGAGGGAGAGCTGGTCAAGCCGGCACGGCGCAGGAAGAAGAGGAAATCGATCTTTGTGCAGAAGAAGAGGCGCTCGTCTGCCGTGGACTACACTCCTGCTGGCTCACCGCAGGTTAAATAACACTGCTCGTCTTTCTTCTGTCTCTTTTTCCTACCTCTCTTACATTGTGTCAGCGGGTGTGTACGCTCGAGCTCATGTGACAGGCAGAGCGGCAAACATAAACACTCATTTACACCTGGGCCAGTTTCAACAGATCTGTAAAGAATTCATGTTTTTATGTGTACTACCACTAAAACATACTGCAGTGAGATTGGTTAGCAGCTGGTTTTGATCACCAAGTAAAACCAGAAAATTAACACGCAGTTATTCTGAGAGTCAGATATTAGTTTAAGTTTTCTTTCAAACAAAAAGCCGTATCAGCGCAAACTGACCTGACAAAACAGGCAACATCTTGGGCTGTGGGAATGTCTAGTGGATCAAATAGCTAAGCAATTAATTGAGAAAAGAATCAGCAGAGTTATTGATGAAATCAAAATTATTTGTAGTTGCAGAAATTTTGTTTTGTTCAACCAAAAGTCTCATAACTAGAGCTACTGCCTCACAGTTGTAAGGTATGTGTCCACCAACAGTTCACATCACATTCACAAGAATGGGCCAGTTGGATGTCATCACCAGCGAGGAGCCAGGAAGAGTAGCTACTGAGTCATTTTTAGCTTGAAATCAAAAAGCAATCATTAATACAAATTGTTGACAATATTCTCAGTTCTCAGTGTAGCTGCCATAAAGATGGTGTCAAATCTGAAACAAGTATCAAATGTTTTCACACATGCACTCCGGACTGTCTCTGTGGAATCAGGCCTGGGCTTTGTCGTCACATGTGTAGCACACGACAGGATGTAGTCTGTGTCACACTCACCTACTGGAAATATCCAACTGGTTTATGTGCAGGGGGCGCACCTGGGTAGAGTGCTCAGGAGGCGGGACATGACGTGGTCACGTGGCCAGTTTGTAATTTGGTCATAAACAACCAAGTTTCTTGCCTTGACTGACAATTAGCACGCCGGCTCGTAATGATAAAAATTCCCGAATCACATCATGCCTCCACTTACAGTAGATACTTTCACTAGCGTCTTCAATTTAAATGACCGTTTTTATTCAGTTGCCAGTCACATGATAGAACATCATCAACACGCCTACTTGCTCCGTGTCAATACTCCAGACTATACTCTGCTCTCTCTTTTCTCACATGGGTTCACTCCAGCAAACTCGGACCTTCTGCAGACTTTGTAGTTGGGAGCTGGCAGAGTAAAGTCCACTTAAGGTCCGGGTCAGCTCACTCGGACAGTTGTGTTCTCACATACAGCTCCACCATGGAATGTCTAGAGAATTTCATGGTTCCAGCACATGTCTGAAAAGGGCTAAAGTAGTAACTCACCTCAAATGTATTTAAGTTCAGCGTGTGAATAACAAATTATTTATCATAAACTTAATATTTAAGATTAATACAATTCTACTCGAGGGCAGCACAGCAGTCAGAGCTGTCGCCTCACAGCAAGGTTCCAGGTTCGAGCCCCGGCTGACCTGGGGCCTTTCTGTGCAGAGTCTCCATGTTCTCCCTGTGCCTGTGTGGGTTCTGTCCAGGTACTCCAGCTTCCTCCCACAGTCATGTAGCTTAGGTTGAATGGTGGCTCTAAGTTGTTTGTAGGAGTGTGAGTGGTTGTTTGTCTACACATCAGCCCTGTGACAGACCGGCGACCTGTCCAGGGTGGACCCCGCCTCTCTCCCAGTGTCAGCTGGGATTGGTTCCAGACCCTGTTCACAAATAAGCGGTATAGATAATGGATGGATTCTACTTGAATGTCTTGTACATTTCTTTTTGCTATTAAAAGAAAAGAACACTTTAAAGATATTCCAGCAGAGCTGAATATTGAATAAATCAGGTTTTCCTAATTAGAACCTGCTACTGAAACCCAACCTTAGCTAGCAAAGTTACCAAACTCCTGTCTAATCTCTACAGTGGAAACTTGAAACTCTGAGTCATGACTAACGTCACTTACAGGGAACTTCAGACAGATCTG